ACACACACACACACACACACACACACACACACACACACACAAGGGAAGGTAGCTGGGCCCCGAGATGGCTCAGTGGATAAAGGCTCTTACTGCCAAGCCTAATGGCTTGAGTTTGATTCCTGGGCCCTATATAGTAGAAGGAGAGACTAACTTTTGCAAGTTGCCTTCTGACCTACACACACCCCCACACCCCCCCCACACACCCACCCACGGGGGGGGGGGGGAGAGGCAGGGAGGGAAGCAGGGAGAGAGAGAAAGAGAGAGGCAGGGAGGGCGAGAGAGAGGCAGGGAAGGAGGGAGGCAGGGAGAGAGAGAGAGAGAACTTTGAGGTCACTGTGCACATACAGCCCCTGCTGCCCCACAGCGGGTGACTGTCAGCAGATCCTAAGACAAGCATTCTGAGCAGGGACACCTCCTGGCCAACTGCCTTACCATCTTTGCTTCTGCCCACTTCACAGAGTTATATATGTAGTTCAATCTCCTATTTTTTTTTTTTACTGGAGTCCCTCCAACTGAATTTTTCTAACTTTTAACCCATTAATACTTTTCCAAAAACAAACAAACAAAAAACCCACCAAACTTGACCATAAGTAATAGTCACTTAACGGACCCCTTGATTTGACCTGTGCAGCACTAAGCATAGTTGACCACTGCTATCCAAACTTCTCCTTACTCCTGGGATACCTCACTACTTACTCCCCACAGTTCCACATTGCTACTTCACTTTGCTATCCATCACATAAGAACATCTGTGGGACTCTCTCACACTATGTAATTTGTTTTAGTGTCTATGTTCACTTTCTGGCAACCCCATGCCTCTCTTAAGTATTCCTTACATAATAATGAATCCCAAACTCATGTCTCCATCCTAGACCCCTCTTCTATCTCCACTGAATGTTTTAAGGATACTCGTTGCTAGCACATCTACACCTGAGCTCTGGATAATCACTGCTTTTCCTTCATCACCAAAGCTGTCTCCTCCTAGTCTTCACAAGTCTCAGCAGAGACAGCCCTGCTCCCATCTTCCAACTGCTTCACCTGCTCTCTCCACCCACACTGCCTCTGGTCTGCTGGCTCTTTCCTTAACACCCAACACCCAGATGATGTCTATCACTCTCTGAATCACAGTGAACCTTCCAAATAGACTATATTCTACACCACTTCTCTACTGACCTTTCTTAGCCCATCAACAAAAGGGCTTCCCTGGTAAAATGCACACCGCAGTAAGCTCCTTTACTTAAAACCCATTAATAATTTCCTTCTCCAAGGATGGCTGACTCAGGTCAGTCTCGCCGTCCTTCTTGCCACACTGTCTTCTTGCTATCCCTACCTAAGTGAAGTTAACTTTGCTGTTCTCTGGGAGTAGTATTCTCTCTTCTGATAACACAGTATCATACCCCTCATTCTCTGCTGCTTTTTCTCAGATGGCACCTCCTCAATGAATCCTCGACTCCCACCAGCTCACAACCTGCTTCCCAGCTTAATGCCTGTAGATCAGCACTGAATAGTTTTCTAGCATACTACAGAGCTGGCTTAATTGCTCAATGTCAACTCCTCCTCCAACAAACTAAAGGGGCAGGGGATTCCCACTGCCCCCAATTATGCCCACTGCTGTATTTCAACACCAATGTCGGGCTCATAGAAGTTTTGTAATTATTATAAGCTGAGGTGAACTTGAACTCTCGGAATTCATGTATTATCTTGGGTCAATCTAATCTTGCAAGATAATTAACTACATTAAAGAGTAGTGAATAAATTCATAGAAAATTTTCAATCCTCGTACCTTGCTGTTAATCAAGAAAAATTTAACAAATTTACTATTTTGGATTTTTTAAATGTTTTTCCAGAGGCACCTCCCAACACCAGGCAAAAAATAAGAAGGTTAGTTCTAAAGACACCTCATGGGAACAGAGCAGTGACATCTACTGAAGCAGGCACTCGGCTTCACAAATCTCTCTACCCACTCCTTTTACAAAGGGGACAGGATACCACAGCACTGCTGTTACATCTGAGGTAGCAAATAACTAAACTTCCATATCACTTGGTAAAAATATCTACGGCCAAACCTAAGCCAGCCCTTACTGAACACTACTCTCCTTCCTTCAGAAGTCCTGAGACCTTTCCATAACCATACAAGAAATGAGCTACAACATGCACCCAAGTCCACATTTGGATTCAGAGTCATTAACATCAGTTCTGACTAAATATTGCAACCAGACCCCCTTGGGAGGGCATGCAAGAGCATCCTTAATGGACTTAACGAAATAATTCAAAGACCTTCCGTGACAAAAAGCTGAGAATAAAACATGTGACTTGGTAGTGTTTAAATCCCATTTCAGTGGAATATAAAGTTTTAAAAAGCTTCTACTGATGCCTCTGTATTCTGAAACTTTCAGTTAGTATCTTATGAAAGTAATACATTCTGTTCAGATCAGCCAAGGGGAGGTTGGCAGGCAATGTTGTGCATGCTGGCCCAGAAGGCGGAGGCTGCAGCAAATCACCAAACTGTTCAAGACACAACAAAGCACGAGTTCTTTGAAGCTGTATGAAGACTGTCACAATCAAAAACAAACAAAACTTATCCATCACAAAGATGATTATGAAAAAACTGCTAGGGGTCGAGAGAAATGGCTCATCAGTTAAGAGCATGTGCTGATCTTGCAGACAACTGGAATTTGGTACCCAGTACCTACATCTGGTAGCTCACAGCCATCTGTAACCACAGCTCCAGGGAACCAGATGTCCACTCCTGGCCGCTACAGACACCTGTGAAACACTACTGGGACCATAACTGTGTGAAACAAGTATATCCATATGATCATTTTAAAGGGCTTTGTCTGTAGTGTTAAAAAAAAATGCTTCAAAAAAATTAAACTGTGGCATATGACATTTGGAAGGAAAAATGAGTTGGTAAACAAAACAAATGAACATAGGCAAATAATGAAAATTCACATGCAATTTGATGTTGATATACATACCATATTATATAGGAAAAGATACCCAAACATAATCATTATCAGAATTGAGGGAAGCCTCAAATTCTAAAGAACCTGAAATTTCACTTTTTAAAATATTTACCCCAAAGTTGAAAGAACTACATGTAATTCCATAATGAATTTACTTCTTTTGATAAAGCCCTAGAGACACACAATTCCCACCACAGTCTGGGTTCATCCATGAGAATATAGTAGGTGATCAATAAGTAACTGCTGAGAAGCAGGAAGCAAGAGAAACTGTGGCTTGCTTCCTGATCCCACACTCCCAAGTCTTGGCTGATTGCTCAAATGATTGTATGATAAAACTCTTTCACCTCTAGGTTGCAGGCCCTATCACTGTCACAGAGGGGGTCTCTTTATCACCTGATAAAAGCAGTCACAACATGAATTTTGTCAGGCAAAAGTATGTGGTTAGAGTCAGCGCTCTTAAACACAAGGCCGGGGGTATAATATAGCAGATGACAGAAATAAACAAAGGGAGGAGTTTTTCTACCTGGGCTCACCAATTTATATGAACCTATCTGTAACTCAAAGACAAAATATGCACAGATTCATTTATCAGTCTGGAGGTCTCAAAAGCAAGCTAGTATCTTTGTACATGATACTTATATGTCTAGGAATAAGGAATTTAAACCACATCAAAATGAGACAGACTGCAGTTTTATATATGGTTTACAGTTTTTCAGTACTATTTATGAAGTCAGTTGAAAGCAGAAGACACAGACATCCTAGGAAGTATTTTGTAACCTTATCCTGTGAAAGCTACCCCTTAGCCTGAAGAGAATGTAGAAAGAAGCATAAATTTCTAAAGATGCTATTTGGATCAAGGGTGCTAAGAAAGTAGGCATGAGGGGAGAACATGACTGTTTCTAAGCCACAAAGCTACACCTCAAGGCCCATCATAACCACAGTCTATGTGGTTAAGTGGAGTGAAAACTTACTAACTTTAATGACACAGACACAAAAAAATGCAAATGTGACAATTGGTACAAATGGCCCAAGGGTAGGAATTTTGAACAAATAAGAATTGTGACTTTAGATGATCAGCAATAAGCTGATGACAGGAATACATATTTGACATATGAATGAGATAATATTAACCTTCAAGAAAGTAGATTTATATATCTTATTGTCTTATAATACAGGGAGACAAAAGGTAATTGGTAACCATAAAGAGTTTTTGCGGAAAAGAACTATAGTCAGTCAAGATATAGTCAAAGAAAGCTAAGGCCACATAAAGTCAATCTGAAGATCTTTTATGTTG